GCTGCTATGAACATTGGGGTGCATATATCCTTTCTGATTGGTGTTTCTAGCTTCTTGGGATATATTCCTAGAAGTGGGATTACTGGGTCAAATGGAAGTTTCATTTTTAAATTTTTGAGGAAATTTCATACTGTTCTCCACAGTGGCTTCACCAGTCTGCATTCCTACCAGCAGTGCACTAGGGTTCATTTTTCTCCACATCCTCGCCAGAATTTGTCATTTGTTGATTTGTTGATGACAGCCATTCTGACAGGTGTGAGGTGGCACCTCCTTGTTGTTTTGATTTGCATCTCTAAGATGATTAGTGACTTTGAGCATATTTTCATGTGTCTCTTGGCTTTCTGAATGTCCTCTTTTGAAAAGTGTCTATTTCTATTTAGGTCCTTTGCCCATTTTTTGATTTGATTGTTTATCTTCCTTTTGTTAAGTTGTATGAGTTCTCTGTAAATGTTGGAGATTAAACCCTTATTGGAGATAACATGGGTAAATATGTTCTCCCATGCAGTGGGCTTTCTTGTTTTGTTGATAGTTTCTTTTGCTGTGCAAAAGCTTTTTATTTTTATGTAGTCCCATTTGTTTATTTTTTCTTTAGTCTCTCTTGCCATAGGATTTGTTTCTGTAAAGATATGTCTGCAATTTTGCTGCCTATGGAGTCTTGTAGGATTTTTATGGTTTCCCATCTTACAATCAAGTCCTTTAGCCATTTGGGGTTTGTTTTTGTATATGATGTAAATTGGTGAGCTTTCTTTTTTTTTTTTTTTTTTTTTTTTTTTTTCATTTATCTGACCAAATTTCCAAGTACCATTTAAAAAAGAGATTGTTTGGATTCCATTGTATGTTCTTGCCTCATTTGTCAAACATTAATTGAATATAATGGCTTGGATCAACTTCTGGATTCTCTATTCTGTTCCATTGGTTTATATGTCTGTCTTGTGCCAGTACCAAGCAGTTTTGAGAACCGTGGCTTCGTAATATAGCTTGATGTCTGGTATTGTGATCCCTCCAATTTTGTTCTTCTTTCTCAGGATTGCTGCAGCTATTCAGGGTCTTTTTATATTTCATATGAATTTTTGGAGACCTTACTCTAGGTCTTTGAAGTATGCTATTGGTATTTTAATGGAGATTGCATTGAATTAATAGATTGCTTTGGGTAGTATAAACATTTTAATGATGTTGATTCTACCAATCCATGAACATGGTATATTCTTCCATTTGTTCATGTCATCCTCTAGCTCTTTTTTCAGCATCCTGTAATTTTCTGAGTATGGGTCCTTTATCTCTGGTGAAATTTATTCCTAGGTATTTTATTTTTTTGTTGTTGTTGTTGTTGCAATGGTAAATGAGATTGGGTTATTTTTACTCTCTTTTTGTGAGTTCATTATTGGTGTATAGAAAAGCCATAGATTGCTGGGTGTTAATTTTGTACCCTGCTACATTGCCAAATTCATTTCTAAGTCTAATAGTTTTTTGATGGAGTCTTCAGGGTGCTCTATGTACAATATCATTCATCTGTGAATGAGAACAGTTTCACTTCTTCTTTTCCAATTTGGATGCTTTTTATTTCTTCTTCTTGTCTGATCACAATGGCTAGTTCTTCCATTACTATGTCAAACAGGAGTGGTGAGAGTGAGCATCTCTGTCTTGTTCCTGTTCTTTGGGGAAATGGTTTTAGTTTTTGCCCATTGAGTATGATGTTGGCTGTGGGTTTGTCATGTAAGGCTTTTATTATGTTGTGGTATGATCCTTCTATACCAACCTTGCTGAGAGTTTTTATCAAGAAAGGGTGTTGGGAAGCATGCAGGGAGTGGTGAAGAGGAAAACCAAGATGGCGACCTAGGTAAGTGCATAAACTGCCGCCTCGCACAACATCTCAAAATAACAACTAAAAGACAGAACAGACTCCATCAAAACCAAAGGAAAGCTGGCTAAGTGGGAAATCTACAACTAGAAAGAATAAGAGAGGTTCATGGATCAGGGGAGCTGCAAAGCACTGAGATAGGGAGATGTGTGCTCAGAGAGTAAGGACAGCCAAGTGCCTGGCTGATGGGTGGGGAAAAGAAGCCCCCGACTTCACTGAACCCTAGCCCCAGCCGAAACCCAGGCTCATAAGGGTGGAGTCTGGACTGTAGAGAAAGGCACCCAGAGACTAAGTGACTGGGAAACTCAGGGGAGCCAGGAGCCTCAGCAGGCAGGGTCTAGCATCAAGCACAAGTGAGTGTACTCAGAGAGGTCTGACCACGGAGGTGACCGCAGTCTCTCCATAGTGAAAGAAGTCAGAAGCTCCTGACTGCACTAAACCCCAGTTCTGACTGCACTTAGCACTGAAACCCAGTTCCAGGTGAGCCCCTGGAGCACCTACACTCTTACAAGGGGAATCTGGTCTGTCATGTGGAAACTCAGGGGATCCATGGAAGGCAGAGGTCTGAGGCATATGCACAAGGGCAGGACTGACAGGAAGCCAAGACTGTTGGCTCAGGCCTGAGACTCTGCCCCATCCAATCTGTGCTCAGAGGCTTTTGCAATTTTGCAAGTCTGATCCTATAAGACTGTCTCCAATACAGAAGGTATTCCAGCATAGATGCAGCTGATACATCCAATTGGCCTGGAGATCAATTCCTCCCAGTGATACCAACAACAATCAAGACTTAACTACAACAAGGCTGTACACGCAGTACACAAAGGGGAGTACCAAGAGTGTTTACCTCAGGTAACTTGGGAGGCTGACCCACCAGGTCATGAAGGGCACCAAGCACATAAAGCCACCCTACCAACTCAGGGAAACAGTGAAAATGCCTAGACAAAGAAACAGATCTCAAACAAAAGAAATGGAGGCGAATAAAAGACTGAATATAGAGTTCAAAACCACAGTTATAAAGTTTTTCAAGAATTTTCTAGAAAAGGCCAATAAATTTAATGAGACCCTCGAGGATATGAAAAAGAACCAACTATAAATTAAACATACACTGATGGAAATAAAAAATATTATACAGAGACCCAACAGCAAACTAGAGGATCATAAGAATCAAGTCAAAGATTTAGAATACAAAGAGGCAAAGGACACTCTTCCGGAGAAGCAAGAAGAGAAGAGAATCCAGAAAGTTGAAGATAGTGTAAGGAGCCTCTGGGACAACTTCAAGAGTACCCACATCAGAATTATGGGGATGTCAGAAGAAGAGAGAGAGCAAGACACTGAAAACGCGTTTCACATAACGAACTTTTCGCATAACAAACTTGCTCCTGGAACGAATTAAGTTCATTGTGTGAGGCACCACTGTATTCAGAATTGAAGAGCAGATAAAGAGCTATACAGATAAGAAAAAGCTAAAGGAGTTCATCACCCACCAAACCAGTATTATATGAAATGCTGAAAGGGATTCTTTAAGAAGAGGAAGAAGGAGGATCCAAGATGGCTGCGCCCAGGTGAACACCTAGCTGCAGCCGCACACAACAATTTCAATAAAATACAACTAAAATATAAAACGGACATTGCCCAGAACTACAGGAAGGTTGACTGACTGGAAATTCTACAGCGAGAAGCAAGGAGAAAACCAGAAGGAGGTGCGGAGGAGCTGGAAAAGCCCAAGGTACAGAGACGCCGCGCGCGGAGAGGACGGAGCCAGAGAGGAGGGGGAGGCCGTGTGCCTGGTGGGCGTTCCCTAGCGGGAAGGAGATAAAACTCCGACTGTGCTGGGCCCCTGACTGCTCTGAACCCCAGTTCTAGGCCAGACCCCGGGGACCCAGGCTCAGCCATAGGGAGCCGGGCTGTAAGGCGAAACCCCGGGGAGCAGCGAAAGGAGGTCCCGGCGGCGCGCACACTGCGCGCAGAGAAGGGACGGTTGGCTGTGCCGCGGGATTGCCCTGATGGGAAGGAGACTGGGGCTCCAGACTGCTCTGAACACCACTTCCAACTGAACTGAACCCCAATTCCGGGCTCATTGGGGGAGAGCATAGACTGTTTGGCAGCAGGCGAAAATCGAGGGCACCTTTCTTTCAGAGGTGCTGGCAGCGAGCACTGAAGGACCCGGGGCTGACGGAAGCCAAAGCTGCAGGCTCCACCCTGAAACCCCGTCCCATCTGTAACTGCAAAATGAGACAACAAAATAGATCACAAACGAAAGAAATGGAGGACAAAAAGCGTCTGGATATAGAGTTCAAATCTACGCTTATAAGGTTTTTCAAGAATTTCCTAGAAAAGATGGATAAGACCTATGAGGATATGAAAAGAGATCAACTAGAATTAATAAGGAGTCATCAAGAAATGATAAGGGATCAACAAGAAATAAAGAATACATTGTCTGAAATAAAAAATATTTTACAGAGTCCTAAAAACAGTAGCGAAGATCGCAAGAATCAAGTCAAAGATTTGGAACATAAAGAGCCAGAAGACACTCCTCCACAGAAGCAAGAAGGCAAGAGAATCCAGAAAATTGAAGATAATGTAAGAAACCTCTGGGACAACTTCAAGCGAACCAACATCAGAATTATGAGGGTCCCAGAAGATGAGAGAGAGCAAGATATGGAAAACATACTGAAAGAAATAGTGACAGAAAACTTCCCCCACCTGGCAAAAGAAATAGACTTACAAATCCAGGAAGCACACAGAACTCCAAACAAAAGGAATCCAAAGAGGACCACTCCAAGACAAATCATAATTAAAATCCCAAGAGCAAAAGACAAAGAGAGAATATTAAAAGCAGCAAGAGAAAAGAAGGTAGTTACCTATAAAGGAACACCTATACGAATGTCAGCTGACTTCTCAACAGAAACCATGCAGGCCAGAAGGGAATGGCAAGAAATATTCAAGGTGATGAATAGTAAGAACTTACAGCCAAAGATAATCTATCCAGCAAAGCTATCACTCAGAATCGAAGGTCAGATAAAGAGCTTCACTAATAAAAAAAAAGCTAAAGGAGTTCATCAACACCAAACCAGAATTATATGAATTGCTGAAGGGGGTTCTTTCAGAAGAGAAAGTAAACAAAGATAAAAATTATGGAGGAGGTAGCCAGGGAGGGCCGCGCGGGCTAGTGGCGTGGGGCGGAGTGGCCAGCTTAGGGCCTGAGGGGGCCTTAGGGGAGCTTTAGGGAGCCTTAGGGTTAGGGCAGCTTTAGGGGGAGCCTTAGGGTTAGGGGAGCCTTAGAGGGAAGCTCTAGGGAAGCCTTAGGGTTAGGGCAGCTTTAGGGGGAACTTTAGGGGAGCCTTAGGGTTAGGGGGGCCTTAGGGAGCAGAGGAGGGCGATGGCAGAGTTAGACGAGGCTGGGGCCCTCGGGGTCCCAGGGGGAGGAAGGCTGAGGGGGAGGGTAGATCTGGGGAAAGCTTCGTTGACAGGAGCCGCAGCCACGGGGGAGGCCAGGCCTCGCCGCTGCCTGCGGGCGAGGGGCCCGGCCTCCAGGAGAGAGAGGCCCCGTGGGCCGAGCCGCAGTGCCCGGCCGGAGGGAGGCAGAGGATGAGCTGGAGGAGACGGTCTCGCCACCCCGCTGGAGGCCCGGGTGCCCTGAGTGCTGAGGAAGGGAGGAAGGCCGGGGGGCCGGGAGGGCTGACCTTGACCTTGTCACCAGCAGCCCCTTTTCTTCCAGACCAGGGTGTGAGCTCGCCCGGGCGCAGAGGAGGCCTGGTCTTGTGGAAATTGAACTTGGCCTCGCGGGGCTGACGGCTGGGGCCCAGGGTGGTATGTAACGGGCCCGGCCGGCGGAGCCCGGTCTGGGTGAGGCAGGCCCAGTCCAGTGAGGGTGGTGCAGGAGTGAGATGGAGGAGTAGGTGCGGCGGCTGGTAAGGTGCCTCACGGCTGCTGAGCAGAGGCCGCGTGTGTGGACAGCGCTGACCCCGCTTTGTTTTCCAGGTGGCAGAGCTCCCCTCTGGACTCCCTCTAGGTTCTCCTGTGACTCCTCTGCCCCTCCTCCTCCTCCCTTTAACTCTCAAGGTTATCCCTTCACTTAGGCCTTGCTTCTGGTAATCTGGTAAGCCCGGGACGTCGTCACGTCCCTGTTGGAGTCGGTATTGCTGGTAACCTTGACCGAGAGGTTGGGGTGGGGCGAGTGGGTTGCTTGCCGGTGGAGAGGGTGGGGTTGAACGTGCACCCTTGGCTGGGCCCGCAGCGCTGGTACCAGCTGAGAGGCACACAGGGGCCTCATGGACCGTGGTTTGTAACCAGAGTGTTCATCTCGGCGACCAGATGGCACCAGGAGACATGGAGGCCCTGGCCAGTGTGAGGCGAGGCAGAGCCGCAGGGGAGGCCCTGGAGGAGAGAGCGCGCCTAAGTTGATGGCTGCAGATTGCATTTCCAGTCTTAGGAGGAGGAAGTTCTCCGCTGGCATGTCTCCAGGCCTTGCTCGGGAAGCCCCGTGTGCAGGAGGCCATCCTTTAAGGGTTTCAGATGAGCTGCTGAGGGTGGCAATCGTAAAGTCCGAGTCAGATGCATCCAGGCCACCAGCAGATGCGTTTATTTGCTTTTTGATCTTGGAGCACCAATCCCGGGCACGTGAGTGCCAGCAGGCACCCCTCCTTTTTTGGGGTGGTTTTCAGATGCTGCATCTTCTATATTGAGCCTCCTTGTCATGCTAGTTCTCTGCTACGAACCTTGCTTCCAGAAGATTCTTAAGCTCTAGAACATGTTGATGTTGATGTCGAAACGCAGAGTGATGCCTTGTAGATGGAACTTGCAGATGGAGCCCAGTGATCCTCTCGCCTACCCACCCACCCACCCACCTGTGCTTTGGTCGGAGGAATTAGTGTGATGATGGAACTGTGGGGAATGTTCAAGTTTGAATGCCTTAGGCAAAGGCCTGGAAGAAGCAAGCTGGGGTGGGTGATTGGGTTGTGCTGCAGTCTGGTGGGTTACAAGTCGGTCATGCCCAAATTCTGTCAGAAATGGCAGGTGTAGTTTGGGCATTTCCATTGCCTCACAGGGTACCAAGGGGAATGGGCGGGTACTGGAGGTGGTATTTGGTTCATCTTGCTGTTTTTTAACTTGAATTCTACCTGATTGGATTTCACAATAATCTTGGTATTCAAATGGGAGGAGCCTGAGGGGGAGAGGGTTGTAAGGGTAGGGGCACTGGTATTGGGGGAGAGGGGTTATTAGGCTCTATGGGGGGGGGGGGGGGCTGTGGGGGAAAGGGAGGACAGCTTGGTACTAGGAGGGGTGGATGGGAAAACAGAGAAGAGTGGTTATATTGCAGAGGGTGAGGGTGGTAGGGAACGTGGGTTGAAGGGGGTTTTCTGGAGAAAACATCAGAGGGGAGGGCTCTGGAGAACTTACGTAATAGCTCCGGGGTAAAGAAAATACTAAATATTGTAAATTGTTCATGCTGGTTGAACTGTTGCTTGGAAAGCACAAAAGTTCATTGGGAACTTTCTAAAGCACTTTGAGCTCAGTGCAGAGGAAAAAGCAAAATTGTTTTGCATTGCTGCGAGGTGAGCAAGGCCCAAGGCCCGTCAGTCACTTGAAAGACGGGTGTCAGAACCGTGCAGCAGGTTTCTCTGAAACTGAGGGCGAGTCTGAGAAAAGACTTTCCGTGCCCAAATTGTGGGCTTTTAAATTGTTTAAATTTGAAAAAAATTATTGAGATTTTGTTGTACACTTGAGATTAGATACACGCTTTTGGGGTTACTCCTCTGGGCTTTTCTGATAGGAAATCCTGAGCAAAGTGAAAAAAGATTTCTAAAGGAATTTTGTGTGTTAACATTGTATCTTATAAACAACTCGCTTTTCTTTTGTAGTCGGTATTAACCATTTTTGCTTACTGTTATCTTTACATTGTAATGGGAACCAAATAACCTTTTGTGGACACTGTAAAATTACTGTGGTTTTTGGTAACAATTCATGTGCCAAGGTTAGGTAATCGATCATATCCTTAGTTTGAAAGTTTGTGCTTTTTAAATGATCCAGCACTACTGGGGAAACTCGGCCAAAACCAGTCGGGGGAGCAAGAACAAAAACGAGGCGGCAGGCCTCGCTAGGTGTGGCACATCACGTGTTTGAGGTGCATCTGCTGGCAAAGTATGCTGGTGGCTTTTGTTATCATGTCTCTTCCCCTTAAATTTCACCTTAGATACTTTAAATCCCAGTGCTTCTGCCTTTGGGATTCTATGTCTTCTGGGTTTAAAAAGTGTTAAAAAATATGTTGGCATGATAGCTGCGTTCTTAACCAGAGACTTGGGCATGACACAGTTACTGACTGTCCTTGGCATTTAGAGTATTATGCATGTATGGGGAATAAGTTGGGTAAGACCTGGTACTGTTGCCTCATGTATGTGACTAATAGTTTTTTCTTCCCCATTTCAGCACAAATAAAGGTTTGAGCTCTAAACTCAAAAAAAAAAAAAAAAAAAAAACAAAGATAAAAATTATGAACAACAAATACGTAACTATCAACAAGTGAATCTAAAAATCAAGGAAATTAAAAAAAATCTGATGAACAATAGTAACTGTTGAATATAATAGAATCAGAGATATGGAGGGGAGTGAACTGAAGATTCTTGGGGAAAAGGGGAGAGGGGTGCGTAGGAAGAGACTGAACATAAACTGTGCACCTATGGATGAGGACAATGGGGAGTGGGGAAAGGGCAGAGGGTGGGGTGGGAACCTGGTGGAGGAGAGCAATGGTGGGGGGGAAAAAAGGAACATTTGTAATAATATGAACAATAAAAACTTATTTAAAAAAAAGAAGAGGAAGAAGAAAAAAGTAAAGATAAAAATTATGATCAACAAATACATATATATCAACAAGTGAATCTAAAAATCAAATAAATTAAAAATCTGAGAAACAGAATAAACTGGTGAATCAGGGCAAAAAAAAAAAGGAGTGTATTGATAATTATCAGGTGGAAAGAGGTATGAGGGGTGCAGAAAGAGACTGAACTAAAATCATACACCTATGGATGAGGACAATGGGTGGGGGGGTAAAAGTAGAGGGAGGGGTCGGAACCGGGAGGAAGGAAGCTATGGGGGAGAAAAGGAGAAACAATTGTACTAATCTGAGCAAAAAAGATTTATTACATTTAAAGAAAATTTTTAAAAAATTTTAAAAATGGTATTGGATTTTGTCAAATGCTTTTTATGTATCAATGATATTATTATATGGTTTTTATCTCTCAGTTTGTTTATGTGGTGTATCCATCTTATTGGTTTACAGATATTGTACCATCCTTGCACCGCCAGAATAAATCCCACTTAATCATTGGGTATGATTTTTCTATGTAAGGCTAAATTTGATTTGCTAGAATTTTGTTGAGAATTTGGTGTCTATGCTCATGAAGGATATTGGCCTGTAATTGTCTCTTTTTTTTTTTTTTTTTTTTGTCTTTATCTGGTTTTGGGATTAGGGTAATGATGGCTTCATAGAAAGAGCTTGGAATAGTCTAAGGGAGATATCATTTATTTCTTTGAATGTTTTATAAAACTCCCCTGTGAAGCCTTCTCGTCCAAGGCTTTTGTTTTTGGAAGTTTTTTTATTTACTGCTTCAATTTCCTCGATAGTTATCAGCCTTTTCAGATATTTTTATTTCTCCTGGTTGAGTTTTGGAATGTCGTGTTTTTTAGGAATGTGTCCATTTCCTCTAGATTGACCAGTTCGTTGGAATAGAGTTGTTTGTAGTATTTTTTGTCTTGTTTTGTTTTGTTTTGTTTTACAATCCTTTTTATTTCTGTGGGATCTGTTATTATTTTGCCTCTTTCATTTCTGATTTTGCTTATTTGGGTCCTCTCTCTTTGCTTCTTGGTGAGCCTACCTAGAGGTTCATCAATCTTGTCTATCCTTTCAAAGAACCAGCTCTTGATTTCATTGATCTTTTATATTGTTTTTGCTTGTTCATTTGTTTGTTTTTTGTCTCTATGTCATTTATTTCTGTTCTGATCCTCATTATTTCATTCCTTTTGCTCACTCTGTTTTCTTGTTGCTATCTTTCTAATTCGTTTTTGTAATAAATCTTTATTGTTCATATTACTACAAATGTATTACTCTTCCTCTCCCCCCTCCCCCAATTGCGCACCTCCACCCTCTGTCCTTTCCCCATCACAAATTGTCCTCATTCATAGGTTTTTGTTCAGTCTCTTCCCGCACCCCCACTCCCTTTTTCCCAAGAATCATCAGTCCACTCCCCTTCCATACCTCTGATTCTATTATATTCAACAGTAAATATTTGTTCATCAGATTTTTAAATTCCCTTGGTTTTTAGTTTCACTTGTTGATAGTTACCTGTTTGTTGTTCATAATTTTTATCTGTATTTTCTTCCTCTTCCTAAATAACCCCTTTCAGCAATTCATATAATTCTGGTTTGGTGGTGATGAACTCCTTTAGCTTTTTTTTTATTTGTGAAGCTCTTTATCTGACCTTCGATTCTGAGTGATAACTTTGCTGGGGAGAGTATTTTTGGCTGTAGGTTCTTGCTATTCATCACCTTGAATATTTCTTGCCATTCCCATCTGGCCTGCATGGTTTCAGTTGAGAAATCAGCTGACAATCGTATGGGTGCTCCTTTATAGGTAACTACCTGCTTTGCTCTTGCTGCTTTTAATAGTCTCTCTTTGTCTTTTGCTCTTGGGATTTTAATTATGATGTGTCTTGGTGTGGTCCTCTCTGGATTCCTTTTGTTTGGGGTTCTGCAGGCTTCCTGGACTTGTAAGTTTATTTCTTTCTCCAGGTGGGGGAAGTTTTCTGTCACTATTTCTTCCAGTATGTTTTCAGTATCTTGCTCTCCCTCTTCTTCTGGAATCCCCATAATTCTGATGTTGGTTTGCTTGAAATTGTCACAGAGGTTTCTTACACTATCTTCAACTTTCTGGGTTCTCTTATCTTCTTGCTTCTGCAGAGAAGTGTCTGGCTCTTTATGTTCTAAATCTTTGTCTTGATTCTTGTGATCTTCCAGTCTGTTTTTAGGACTCTGTGTAATATTTTTTATTTCAGACAATGTTTTCTTTATTTCTAGTTGATCCCTTTTTATTTCTAGTTGATCCCTTATTATTTCTAGTTGATCCCTTTTCATATCCTCATAGGTCTCATTTATTTTATCAGCCTTCTTTAGGATATTATTGAAAAGCCTTATAACAGTGGTTTTGAACTCAATGTCCATTCTTTTCTTTTCCTCCATCTCCTTCCTTTGTGTCCTGCCTCTTGTCTGCATTTTAGTTGTTTCCCTGATTTAATGGAATAGTTTTGTGTGTTAGATGTTCTGGTAGAGCCCAGTAGCACAGCCTTCCCAGTTACCTGCGGTGGACAATCTTGCTGTAGCCCTTTGTGGGCTATGTGTGCAGTCTTGTTGTTAAGCCTTGCTTATCACTGGGAAGCGTTGATTTCCAAGCCAATTGGCTGTGAGGATCAGCAGTGTCTCAGCTAGGAAGGCTTCTGTACTCCACTTGGATGGAGCAGAGTCTCGGGTAGCGCAGGCAATCTTTGGTTCAGTCTCACCTTAGAAAAGTCCTGTTCGAGGTGAGTCTCACCAGATTAGTTGCAGCTTGCGCACCTTTTGATAAAGATGCAGACAAGCTTTGGATTCTGGCCAGTCCCTTCTAAGAGAAAGCCAGCCTCTAGAAGAGCTTCTGTGCTCAGCTTGGATGGGGCAGAGTCTTTGGGTGGTACAGACAAGCTTTGTTTTCCCGTCAGCTCCTCCCCAAGTGGCTCCTCCCCAAGTCCCACAGTAATGGCCTCTGGCTTCACACATCTCTGAGAGATCTCTGTCCACTGCCTGACAGTCTGGCCTCTCCCTGACTGGGGCCATCTATCAGAGCAATAGGGTGATTCTGTTTTCCTCTCGAACAAGAAAGCCAGCCACGTATTAGCTGTCCGCCCTCTCTGTGCGCCCGGAGTAAGCTAGTAGCAAATTCAGCCTGGCTTGGCCTCTTTGCGTGCCGAGAGTACGCCAGCGTCTTTTCACGCACACAGTTCTCTGTACCTTCACAGTTTCTGAGAGTCGTCACGCCTTCTCTCTTCTTCCCAGATGGCAGAGCCTCCTCTCAGCTAGCCGTCTGGTGCTTCAGGGCAATGCCCCCCCTGTTTTCCAGTTCTAAATTCAAATTTGTTGTGGTAGGCTGCATTCGGGTGTCTACCCTATGCCGCCATCTTGGTTTCTCCTATCTTTCTAATTCTTAAAGTTGCAGAGTTAGATGGTTTATGACCAATTTTTCTTGTTTTTTGTTTTTGTTTTTGTTTTTTCAGGTAGGCCTGTAATGCTATGAACATTCCGCTCAGGATTGCTTTCACTATGTCCCAAATATTTTGGATTATTGTGTTTAGTTGTTGTTTGTTTCAGGGTGTTTTTTATTTCTTCTTTAATCTCTTTGGCAACCCACTCATTGTTTAATAGTATGCTATTCAGCCTGAAAGTGTTTGAATTTTTATAATTGCTTTTATTATAGTTGATTTCTAATATTATGCCATTGTGATCTGAGAAGATACTTGATATGATTCCAATCTTCTTGAATTTGAAGAGACTTTGTCTGTGTCCCAATATGTTGTCTATCTTTGAAAATGTCCCATGTGCCCTTGAGAAGAATGTATATTCTGTAGTTTTGGGGTGGAATGTTCTAAAGATGTTAAGTCCATCTAATCTAATGAGTCATTTAGAACTGTTTCTTTGCTAATTTTTTTGTCTAGAGGATTTATCCAGTGATGTTAATGGGATAGTAAAGTCTCCTACTATGATTGTATTGCTGTCAATATCTCCTCTGATATCTTCCAGAATTTTTTTTTAATTTTTTATGTACTGGTATTTGGATGCTCCTGCACTAGGTACATATATGTTAACCAGAGTTATATTCTCTTGTTGTATCAATCCCTTTGGAATTATGAAGTGGCCTTCCTTGTCTCTTGTTATGGTCTTCACTTTTAGGTCTATTTTGTCAGATATAAGTATTGCTACCCCAGTTTTTTGTGGGTTTTTTTTTTTTCATTTCCATTTTCCTGAAAGATATTTTCCATTCCTTCACTTTCAATCTGTGTGAGTCTCTTGTTCTGAGGTGGGTCTCTTGTAGACAGCATATATATGGGTCATATTTTCTTTTTTATTTAATTTTTTTTAAATTTTTTATTGATTTTTTTGCCCCCCCTCCCTCCCATACATCCCCTCCCTCCCCAGAGTTTTATGTCCATTGGTTGTACTTATATGCATGTATACAAGTCCTTCGGTTGATCTATTATCTCCGCCAGATCCTCCTCCCCTCCCCACTGTAATTTGACAGTCTGCTTGTTGCTTTACTGTCTCTATATCTATCTTTTGGTTCATCAGTTTATAATGTTCTTTATTATCCACAAATGAGTGGGGTCATGTGGTGTTTCTCTTTCATGGCTTATTTCACTCAGCATGATGTTCTCCAATTCCATCCAGGTTGCTGCAAATGATGAGAATTCCTTCTTTTTTAGGACAGCATAGTATTCCATTGTGTAGAAGTACCATGGTTTTTGGATCCAATCATCTGCTGACGGGCACCTAGGCTGTTTCCAAATTCTGGCTATTGTAGATTGTGCTGCTATGAACATAGGGGTGCATATATCCTTTCTGATTGGTGTTTCTAGTTTCTTGGGATATATTCCTAGGAGTGGGATTACTAGGTCAAATGGGAGTTCCATTTTCAGTTTTTTGAGGAAACTCCACATTGTTCTCCACAGTGGTTGCACCAGTCTGCATTCCCACCAGCAGTGCACGAGGCTTCCTTTTTCTCTGCAACCTCGCCAACACTTGTCGTTTGTCGATTTCTTGATGTTGGCCATTCTGACAGGTGTGAGATGATACCGCAGTGAGATGGTACCGTGTGAGATGGTTTTATTTTTGATTATGTTGATTCTACCAATCCATGAACATGGTATGTTCTTGATTTGCATCTCTCGGATAATTAGTGACTTTGAGCATGTTTTCATGTGCCTTTTGGCCTTCCTTCTGTCTTCTTTTGAAAATATTCTATTTAGGTCCATGGCCCATTTCTTAATTGGATCATTCATCTTCCTTTTATTTAGTTGTATCAGCTGTCTGTAGATGTTGGAGATTAAACCTTTATCAGTGGTGTTATTTACAAATATGTTCTCCCACACCGTGGGCTTTCTTGTTGTTTTGTTGATGATTTCTTTTGCTGTAAAAAAGCTTTTTATTTTGATATAGTCCCATTTGTTTATTTTCTCTTTAGCTTCCATTGCCCTAGGGGCAGTATCAGTGAAGAAGTTCTTTTGGCATATGTCTGAGATTTTGCTGCCTGTGGATGCTTCTAGTATTTTTATGGTTTCCCGTCTGATATTTAAGTCCTGTATCCATTTTGAGTTTATTTTTGTGTATGGTGTAAGTTGGTGATCTAGTTTCATTCTTTTGCATATGTCTGCCCAATTTTCCCAACACCATTTATTGAAGAAACTGTCTTGACTCCATTGTATATTCATGCCTCCTTTGTTAAATATTAATTGAGCATAGTGATTTGTGTTGATATCTGGGTTCTCAATTCTATTCCATTGATCTATATGTCTGTTCTTGTGCCAGTACCAAGCTGTTTTGAGAACCGTGGCTTTGTAATACAGTTTGAAGTCTGGTATTGAGATCCCTCCTACTTTACCCTTCTTTCTCAGGATTGCTGTGGCTATTCAGGGTCTTTTATTTTTCCAAATAAACTTTTGGAGAGTTCTTTCTAGGTCGGTGAAATATGTCATTGGTATTTTAATGGGGAGTGCATTGAACCTATAGATTGCTTTAGGAAGTATGGACATTTTGATTATGTTGATTCTACCAATCCATGAACATGGTATGTTCTTCCATCTCCTTACATCTTCCTCTATCACTTTTTTCAGTGTTGTGTAGTTTTCTGCATATAGGTCCTTTACTTCATTAGTTAAATTTATTCCTAGGTATCTTAATTTTTTTGGTGCTATGGTAAATGGAATTGCTTTTTTAGTCTCGGTTTCTGTAGTTTCACTGTTGGTGTATAGAAATGCCATGGATTTCTTGGCATTAATTTTGTATTCTGCTACATTGCCAAATTCATTTATTAAGTCATTTAGTTTTTTAATTGAGTCTTTTGGGTTTTTTATGTACAATATCATGTCATCTGCAAATAAGGATAACTTTACTTCTTCTTTTCCAATTTGAATGCCTTTTATTTCCTCTTCTTGTCTAATTGCAATGGCTAGTACTTCCAGTACTATGTCAAACAGGAGTGGCGATAGTGGGCATCCCTGTCTTGTTCCTGTTCTTAGAGGGAATGGTTTTATTTTCTGCCCATTGAGTATAATGTTGGCTGTGGGTTTATCATATATAGCTTTTATTATTTTGAGGTATGATCCTTGTACTCCCACCTTGCTGAGAGTTTTTATCAGGAAAGGGTGTTGGATTTTATCAAATGCTTTTTCTGCATCAATTGATATGACTATATGATTTTTATCTTTCAATTTGTTTATGTGATGTATCATGTTTATTGATTTGCAGATATTGTACCATCCTTGCATTCCTGGAATAAATCCTACTTGATCATGGTGTATGATCTTTGTGATGTTCTTCTGGAGTCGATTTGCTAGAAGTTTGTTGAGGATTTTGGCGTCTATGTTCATGAGGGATATTGGCCTGTAATTCTCTTTCATTGAGTTGTCGTTATCTGGTTTTGGTATTAGGGTGATGCTGGCTTCATAGAAGGAGTTTGGAAGTGTTCCTTCCTCTTGAATTTTTGAAATAGTCTGAGGAGGATAGGTTTTAGTTCTTCCTTGAATGTTTGGTAAAACTCTCCTGTGAAGCCATCTGGCCCTGGGCTTTTGTTTGCTGGAAGCTTTTTGATGACTGTTTCAATTTCTTCCCAAGTCACTGGTCTATTGAGATTTTTAGATTCTTCCTGATTGAGTTTTGGAAGTTTGTATTTTTCTAGGAATATGTCCATTTCCTCCAGGTTGTTCAGTTTGTTGGAATAGAGTTGTTCGTAGTATTTTGTAACAATCCATTGTATTTCTGTGGGGTCTGTTGTTATTTCACCTCTTTCATTTCTGATTTTGTTTATTTGGGTCCTCTCTCTTTGTTTCTTGGTTAGCCTGGCTAGAGATTCATCTATCTTGTTATTCTTTCAAAGAACCAGCTCTTGGTTTTTCTGATCTTATGTATTGTGTTTTTTTTTTTTTTTTTTTTTTTTTTTTTTTGGTCTCTATGTCATTTATCTGTGCTCTGATTTTTGTTATTTCCTTCCTTCTGCTTACACTGGGCTTTTCTTGTTGCTCCTTTTCTAACTCTTTGAGTTGTAGAGTTAGATCATCTGTTACCCTTTTTTATAGTTTTTTGCAATAGGCTTGTAAGGATATGAACTTCCCTCTCAAAACTGCTTTTGCTGTGTCCCATAGATTTTGGATTGTTGTGTTTTCATTGTCATTTGTTTCCAAGATGTTTTTAATTTCTTCCTTGATTTCTTGGTAACCCAGTCCTTGTTTAATAGCATGCTGTTAAGTCTCCATGTGTTTGATTTCTTTGGATTATTTTTATTGTAGTTAATTTCCAGTTTTATGCCATTATGGTCTGAGAAGATACTTGATATGATTTCTATCTTCTTGAATTTGAAGAGACTTTGCCTATGACCCAAAATGTGGTCTATCTTTGAGAATGTCTCATGTGCACTTGAGAAGAATGTATATTCTGTGGCTTTGGGGTGGAGTGTTCTGAAGATGTCAATTAATTCCATCTGGTCTAGTGAGTCATTTAGGATTGATATTTCTTTGTTGATTTTTTGTTTAGATGATTTGTCGAAGGGTGACAGTGGGGTATTAATATCTCCTACTATGATTGTATTGCTATTAATCTCTCTCTTAATGTCCTCCAGCAGTTTTTTTATTCATTTGGTTGCTCCTATATTGGGTGCATATATATTTACCAGGGTTATTTCTTCTTGTTGGATTGTTCCCTTTAGTATTATGAAGTGGCCTTCACTATCTCTTATTATGTCCTTCACTCTGAGATCTAATTTGTCAGATATAAGTATTGTTACCCTAGTAGCTTTTTTTTCATTTCCATTTGCCTGGAAATTTTTTTTCCATCCCTTCACCCTCAGTCTGTGTGCATCTTTTTTTTTCTGAGGTGGGTTTCTTGTAGACAACAGATGTATGGGTCTTTTTTTCTTATCCAATCTGTTACCCTATGTCTTTTGATTGGAGCATTTAATCCATTTACATTTAAGGTTATTATTGATAGGTACTCATTTGACGCCGTTTTTATTCTATACCCCTGTTCCTTCTTCACTTCCTATTTCTTTATTTTTACAGTAGACCCTTTAGCATTTCTTGCATTGCTGGTTTGGTGGAGATAAATTCCTTCAGTCTTTTTTTGTCTGTGAAGCTCCTGATTTCCCCTTCAATTTTGATTGATAGCCTTGCTGGGTACAGTATTCTTGGATTCAGACCCTTCCTTTGCATGACTTTGTATATTTCATCCCATTCCCTTCTGGCCTGATAAGTTTCTGTTGAGAAATCAGTTGCTAGTCTGATGGGGTTTCCTTTGTATGTTACTTTCTGTCTCTCTCTGGCTGCTTTTAAGATTCTTACTTTGTCGTTGTTGTTTGCCAATTTAATTATAATGTGCCTTGGAGTCTGTCTTCTGGGATTCATTTTGCTTGGGACTCTGCGAGCATCTTGGATTTGTGTGGGTTTTTTCTTCTCTATTTCAGGAAAGTTTTCTGTCATTATTTCTTGAAATACTTTTTCCATGTCTACCTCAGTTTCCTTTTCTTCTGGAACCCCTATTATTTGAATATTATTTTGTTTTGTATTGTCCCAAAGCTCCCGTAGGCTCTCCTCCTGCTTTTCCATCTTTTTTCCTAGAAGCTGTTCTACTTGGGTATTTTTTTTCCATCTTATCTTTTAGCTCACTGATGTGGTCCTCTGCTTCATCTAGTCTACTCTTGATGCTTTCTATTGAGTTCTTCATGGTAGCTATGTCATTTTTCTTTTCTTCTTGGTTCTTCTTCAATTCCTCATGGTTCTTCTTCAATTCCTCATGGTTCTTCCTCATTTCTTCTTGGTTATTGTCAAATTTCTCTTCCATTCTTTTTAGCCATCCTATGATCATTATTCTGAATTCTTGCTCTGGTAGGCTGCTTGTCTCTGACTCGTTTACTTCCTTTTCTGGTGATGCCTGCTTTTCTTTCATGTGCAGACTATGTTTTTGTCTCCCCATGGCCTCTCTTTTCAGGATGTCTGGTTATGTGGTGTTCCTTCTCCTTTCTGTGGGTGACTGAAGAACTCCCTTGAATCCACGTGTTTGCGCCGATTCAGGCATCTCAACTGCTCAATGGACTTCTCTGCTGTGGGTTTTTCAGCCCTCAGAGAAGCTCCTCCTTTCCTGGTAAGATGGCGCAGCCTTCCCTCTGGGAGAGCTCGCTGCGGCCACGGCAGTGCTGGCCACTTGGTCAGGAAATCCTGTCCAGTGGACTTTCCTCACCTTCCTTGAGAATTCTGCTGCCCCTTAGCTACCAATCAACATTCCCTGAGCGACTCAGACGCTGCTTCTATCTGTTCTGGGACGGGAGTCAGAACATGTCCAACTCTTCGGTCGCCATCTTGGGGACATGTTTTCTTTATCCATTCAGTTACTTAATATCTTTTGATTGGAGGATTTAATCCATTTATGTTTAATGTTATTATTGATAGGTACTTGTTTGTAGCCATTTCTGTACTTTATGCCTATGTTCCTTCCTCCCTTCCTATTTCACAGCATTCCCTTTAACATTTCTTGCATTGCTGGCTTGGTAGTGATAAATTCCCTTATCCTTTTTTTTGTCTGTAAAGCTCCTGATTTCTCCTTCAATTTTGATTGATAGTCTTGCTGGATACAGTATTCTTGGATTCAGTCCTTTGCTTTGCATCACTCTTATACTTCATTCCATTCCTTTCTAGCTTGATGTGCTTCTGTTGAGAAATTATTTGATAATATCTGATGAGGGATCCTTTCTTCCAATGTTTTCTTTATTAGTGCTATGTCATTCTTCATTTCTGACTGTGTTTTCTTCCCCCATAGTTTCTGTATCTTTTTTCATGCTGTTGAGGATCGTTGCAATCATTATGCTGAACTCTATCTGATAACTTTCTTATCTCCATTTCCTTTAGCTCTTCTTCTGTAGAATTATCTTGTTCTTTCTCTTGGGGTTTGTTCTTCAGTTTCTCCATTTTGGCTGCTTGTTTGGGTTTTTGTCTATGTATTAGGTAGATCTCCTATGATTCTCAATCACGAGGGTGCAGGACATTGTCAGAACTCTGTTTATGACTGGCCCTGAGCACCCTGTTTGAAACTATCAGCAATCCATAGCTTGTGGCTCCCTCTGCTGGGGTTGTGTTCCTTTGAAAAGAACCAAGATGTGTACTGGGGTCTACTTTTCCTAGTCCCAGGCCCAGAAGGATATCAGGCAAATACTCAAAACCTCCAGGGATCTACTTCTGCCTGTAGTCTGGTTGTTATTCAGTCTTGATTAGCCTCAGGCTAACAAGCAAGTGTGGACTCCACAGAGTAGGGCAATTGCTTCTCCTCCTTTTCCCCAGGCAAAAGCTGCCTGGATAGTAAAGATCTGCCAAAGAAAGTGTGAGGGAATGACTCATCCCAGGGAACTGGTGCGACTTCCTTCTGAGATCTAACTCCAGAGCCCCCCAGCCCTGGATTCTTTTTGCAAAGCTCTAGTCCTTGCTGCCCTCCTACTAGAACCCAAGGTTAGTGGTTGCACAAGAAATTTTCTGCATTGGCCCTTTAAGAGGGTGCCTGCATTTCCAGCTATCTCTCTTGGCAGACAGCAGCCCTGTTGATTTTCACAGCCAGATGGTATGTGGGCACCTTTCTCAGTTCTGGTATTCTGAGCACCAACTTGGGGTTTAGACCTTAGAGTTCTCAGTGTGAACCTTCTGCAGCTGAGATATTCCTCTGAAACTTCAGCTGTTGCCTGTGGGTATCTGGCCAACCCTTTAGGGGCTCCACACTTTGTACCAGTCCCTATGTGGTCTCCACTGTCCATCCTTGGTTATCGGTTCTCTTTAGCTAGTCTTCAGTTGATTATTCAGGATGGTTTTTCTGTATTTTAGTTGCAATTCCACTCTGGTCCTGGGTGAGTGTCAGTATAGCTTCCATTTACTCTGCTGCCATTTTGGATTCTCCCTCCCATTACAAAATTTTAGTATCTTAAGGTCAGGGCTTTTTATAAATACGTCTTGAACCTACGTATTGAATCTAGGAACATAAATAATTTGCCAATTATATGTTAATTTAATATGTAACAACATCTAATAAATCTTTGTCAGATTTTCTAATTAGAATGCTTAAAAAGTTATGTATATAAGTAATGGTTACATGCAAGATTAAAATAGAGAGGAAGATGTTAGGACTTTAAATAATAATTTAAAGTAGATTAGTCTTGGGAAGAAAATATCCTTAGGAACTGTCCAGTTTTCTAAGTTCTTTATCATCCAGCCCCTCCTGCAACATACTCACCTTGAAATCTATAATCCGCATATATATCTATATATCTATATCTATATCTATATATATATATATATATATATATATATATATATATATATATTTATAATTTGAGACAAATTTATCATAGGGTCTCAAAATTTGCCACAAATTCACTCTCCTCAGAACCTTTGTACATGCTATTCCTCTCAACTGGCAATATTTCCAGTTCAGTTCAGGTCTAGATTAGATGCTACCTTCTCTAGGATGTCTTCCCTAGCACACTTATGTTTTCTACCATCACAAAGTACCTCAGATTTCGAGGTACTTACAGCAATGTCTAGGAAGCTGTAAGCTCTGTGAAGACAGACAAAATCCACCTCAGTAACTTGCACACAGGAAGTCTTTTTAAAAAAATATATTTTATTGATATTTTACAGAGAGGAAGGGAAGAGGAATAGAGAGCTAGAAACATTGATGAGAGAAACATCAACCAGCTGCCTCCTGCGCACCCCTACTGGGGATGTGCCTGCAACCAATGTACATGTCCTTGACCGAAATCGAACCTAGGACCTCCCCAGTCTACAGACCAATGGTCTATCCACTGAGCCAAACTGGTTTTGGCCATAGGAAGTCTTTAAAGACTATGTAGCAAATGCTATCATTTCCCTACCCATAGCCTCTTGTCCTTATCATTTTAGTCTGGACCAGACCCACTTCCAGCTGCCAGCACCTGAACTCCCTTGGCCAAACACTTTCTCTGGCCACTTAAGCCTGTTTTGCCCGCTCTAGAAGCAGAGCAGAAGTCCCAGGGAATTTGAGCTCCCTGAAAGCAATCCTCAATCAATAATTGATGGGATTTGGTATATAAATATCCCAGCTTCCTTACCTCTTGGATGGGATAACTCTGAGACATGTATCCTACCCTGGATCCCAAAGTTTCCCAGCATGCTGAAGCCCCACAGGGCAACTGATTTGACAATGCAATCTTTATAGGCTGCCTTTCTCTGACTTAACAACCAGTATTTTTGCCAGCTTCTCAATAAAGGACTTGGTCTCAAATCCTTGCCTCACTATCTGTTTCCCCAAGAACCTGAACTAGGAAAGAATGCTTGCTGAATGAATGAGTGAGCCTCTGCCTACCCACTCAACATACTACCGCTGGACATGAAAACTGATTGTCAACAGCCATGCATGTCTGAGCCAGGGAGAGCAAATACCTGGCAGGAAATCTCAAACCTTGAATTCTTTTTCTACTGACATTTGGAACCGAGACACATATATGGGAATATTATTTTACTTAAAAGTGCAATGTTGAGAAGTGGCACTGAAAGAGATGATTAAAGCAGTAAATAATATGGCACCTGTGAATGAAATTAGTTCTAGCAATAGAGAGAAAGGATGGCTACATCAATTGCCAAACAAATAACATTATTACTTTTCATCTGCTTGGCACTTGATTGGCATTATGTAATCTTTCTGCCATCCTGCTATAGAAATGAAGACCAAGAGCCACTTCAGGTGGGTCACCCAGCAGTGGAGGGGAGCAGCTGTGGGAGGTAGGAATGGAATTCAGAGTTTCTCTTTTTCTCTTCTCTACAAGCCGTTGTTATAATTTGGAAAAAGATTTGCAGTGGGTTCCATCTGGCTGCAGGGTCAGTGAGGATACCTATTTTTTTTTTATTCCCCCCACCACACATCCCCATACAACTCTCTGATTTTGTTTTGTTTTCTTTCCAGTTAATTAATAGGTGTTTGTTGGGCATGGGAAGAATATGGCACAGTTCTACAGGGGATGAACACAAGATCAGTAAGTCAATAGTCCAGGATTTGATGTTCACCTCAGGCCACAACCCAGCTCAATCTGAGAGAGGAGAGGACGACTGAAGGGAGGAGTAAGTCCTAGGGAAAATGATATGTGTGCCTTTCTCTCCCTATCCCACAAAAAATAAATAACCTTTAAATTGAAAATAAATTTGACAAAGTAAAGAAATCTAAGAACTCAAAGTATTGAGGAAGAGGAGGCCATTTTACCATTTTTAAGTGTGCATGTGTGTACCTGGACATGGGTGCATGGGGCGCTTGTTTCTGACCTGTCTTGTTCCCTCCTAACACTGACTGATGTGTCATCCTCTCAAATCCAGTCACCTACCAGTTTTACCCTCTCGAATGCCAACATTGGACACTCTCCTACCTAAAAGCCAATGGTTCCCTGTTGCCTCCCCAGAGCGGGAGCGGGTTGAAATGTGGCAGGAAGGTCCTTGGGGAGGCAGAAGGGAATGGCCCACACCATCTCTAAAGGAGGCAATTATAAGCCAGCACCAGCTCATTGCAGGGTCAGTATGTCAGATTTTTTATTCTTCCAAGAGATGCTAGAAAGAAGCTGACTTTTAAAACTACATAAGAGTAAAACCAAACAAGTCCCTAAGATTTTTTTTTTTTTTTTTTTTTTTCATTTAACTCACGGCCACCAGCTTGCAAGCTCCCGTCTACAGGATAAAGTTTAAGGCCTTTAGCATGACATTCAACACCCTTTAAGATCTTCCCTATTCTTGTTTCTGTCCCAGACATCTGGATCTACCTGTCAATCCATTTGTCCCCATGCCCCACACCTCCCAGTGGCAGCTCCAGTTAATACACAGGATTGAAAGGGGACAACAGACTGGTTCTGAAGTGGTGTCCACGCAGCAAACTCGCCATTTTTATTATTTTTTGCTTAGATTGCTAATTTATGGTGCCTGTGAAGGAGACTAGCGGGGGCACCAAGCCCATGGGGTTCCTTTTTGGTCACATTCCCCTGTAGGTCACCTTTTGCAAGTTTACGGGATGCTCTTCTACGCTCTTATCCACCAGCAAACTTGTATTCATTTTTTTAAAACTCAGCTTCCACTGAACCTCCCTGCAGACTCTCCAGAAAGTAGGACTTCCTTTTACTTCTGAGCCTTGCACGCATTCTCACTAGTATACAAGTCACAATGTCGTGTGTCTATTGCTCCGCATTCCCTCGTGGACTGTGAACTGAGTTGGGGTCCGTGCCTGTGGTGTTTGTGATCTCAGGGCTTGATTCACGGAGCCCTCTTCCCATTTCCGCAGTCCGACAGCTAGAATCCTCTGCCACACTTCCGCGGACACCCCTGACAGCCAACAACCTCGCTGAAATGAAACCAAAATGAGCACCGAGAATCCCCGTGGCCCTGCTGCTGACTCACACTTCCTCACAGGACGTAGGGCCAGGCCACCTGCCTAACCACTTACGTAACCCCGTTTGGCATCGGAGCCCTCACTCTAGGGGGAAGGGGGGGACGCGGCCGCAGGGAACCCCACCTGCGGGGAGGGGAGGCGCAATTACGCAGAGCCACGCGGCCAGGTCAGAAAAGGCTCAGCACCGTCAGCCCGGAGGAGCACTGAGCCCAGACATGAGCTGAAGGAAAGAGGAGGAGCTGGCTCCCTCCCCGGGTGGGCGCCGGAGCTGCGCTGAGAACTGGGAGGGCTGGCCAGCCGGGTGGAGGGGGGAGATGAGCTCAGTAACAGCCCTGGGGACTTCTGGGGAGGAGTCCTGGGAAAGGCCTAGCGCAGGGGGAAGGGGGGGTGGGTGGAGATGAAACAGCTTCTATTTTTGGTTGGGGGGGGGGGGGGGGCCTTATGGGCAGGAGAATGCGCTTCCTCTGCTCCTTCCTGTTCTGGGCAGAAACAAGGAGGAGGTGCTTCTCCCGTGCGTGGCATCCCCCTGGCCAAACCAGGTTGATGAACCCCCAAAGGGCCTGGCAGATGGGCAGAGGAGGAAAAGGGTATGAAGGTGAATCTGATCTGCTTCCTGGATTCGATGGGGCCATAAAAAGTTCATAGGAGGAGGGAGGGGAAGATGGTACCCTAGGAATTTTTCCTGGAATTACAGACCCTAGCAAATTTCCACTGGGGCAATGAGAAGTATTTAGAAAATGTACCTTTAACCAGAAAAGAGATATTGTCTGCTTTTATATTTTAAAACCCTGGGGGAAATGTCTTATTTGTTCCAGAGAGCTCCACCTCTCCCACCCCTAATATTTTATTTTTATTATTTTAATGTATTTTTATTTGCATTACTTCAATTAATCCTCATAATGCCTCTTGGGAATAGGTACCATTTTCAACCATCAGAAACTCACATTTCCCCCTTAAGCAGGTGCTCAGTTGCTGTTAGTGAGATGGCCTCTCCCTCCTTTTCTTGCATTCATTCAAGCTTCTGTTTGGAGACCTGGGAAGGAGGAGAAGGCTGGGGTGAGGTGGAGATCCTGAGAAGCAGAGAAGAGTGGTGTGCTTGGGACATTGTCTTTTCTTTCTCTGAGTGTTTCAATCCATTTGCAGTCTGGCTAGGAATAAAAGGACATGAGGCTTACTAGATTTTTCAAGAATGACACAGAGAAACCCAGGGACTGAGTTGCTTGCTGTGTTTAGAGTGGAGATCATTCTCTTTGTCTATATAGAAACACAATTGCTCTGGTGCCCACAGGATAGGGAGACTTAAATGAATCCCCAAACAGCACCCTTGCATGGTTTTGGCAATCCAAAGACTGGGAATGGGGTTTGGGTGCAGAAGAGGTAACAGGACAGATGGATCGAGCTGACAGACTGGCTCTGAGCAAATGAGGCACCCTCTAGGAATGCACAGAAACAAGTGAGGGACACTTTGAAGGGACTTGGTTTCTGGCAGCCAGACCTAAGTGTGGGAGTGGGAAGACTCAAGCAACTGCAATTTGTCATTATAAGTAGGTATGACCCAGACACAGACCCATGAGTTCACCAAAGCACCTGAATCACACTACTTTTCTTATTATAAAAAAAAATTTTCAGAGAAATTATGTATTCTTTTTTTAATTACACACAAAGAAGGGCAAAGGAATAGAGAGCAGTTGGGATAGGAAATCAGTTCTTGATAATACTTTGGGGGAGCACAGTAGTGTGAGAACCAAGAACCTTTCATTTTTATCACAGATCCATCCAGCCATCGTGTGTGTGTGTGTGTGTGTGTGTGTGTGTGTGTGTAAAGTTGGACAATGGTTTGAATGTTGGTTTTTTACCTTGGTTTTTCCATCTTTTGGGTAAATTTATATGGTATTTACCCCTAATAATTTTACTGAAACACACCACTAATGTCTAATAAGGAAATACACACATGTGAAGTTGGGTGGTAAAAGAAGAGAATTCATTTACAAGGCACAACATTTCATTTTAAAAAGTAGCTGGGGGAAATTGTAAGAGCTAGTTACTTTGCAGAAAAACTTAATAATTATTGATTATGTGGATTGAGCAATAGCTGAGGTTTGTGGTTTGTTTAAGAATGATATTGTGGCCCTAACTGGTTTGGCTCAGTGGGTAAGAGCATCAGCCTGTGGACTGAAAAGTTATGGGTTCAATTCAGACCAAGGCATGTACCTCAGTTGCAGGCTTGATCCCTGGCCCTGTCAGGGCACATGCAA